GCCCAGGCTGGCACAGTCTCAGCTCACTGCAACTTCCATCTCCCAGGTTCAAGCGATTCTTTTGCCTCAGCCTTCTGAGTACCTAGGACTACAGACATGTGCCACCACACCAGATAATTTTTACATTTTTAGTAGAGACGGGGTTTTACTATGTTGCCCACGCTGGTCTTGAGCTCCTGACCTCAGGTGGTCCACCTGCCTCAGCCTCCCAAAGAGCTGGGATTGCAAGTGTAAACCACTGTGCCTAGCTAGATTTTCAACTAAGTGAGTATATGTTTGAAGTTAGATCAAAGAAAATTTCAAAGCTCCAACACAAACTGCTAGCCCACAATTCAAGAACTTTCTCTTGGGTTAAAAGGAAGCCAATGTGGTCTAGAGTGAACTCTGAGCCACACTGAGAATCACAGAAAACAGCGGTCCTTGGGAAATGATCACCCCAAATAAGGGGTAAAGCAAACACATGGAATTAGCAATACATGAATTCAAACCACTTTCTACTGGCCAGTCACAAAAGGCTCTTATTATAGCAGAATAAAAAACTGTCAAAAGATAAAAAAGAAATCCCAGAAAGCAAACAGTTCCATATGAGAAAAGCCACATTACTGGAAGTCTTAAGGGAAATCAAAGCTTGACATCAAATAAGCTTCTCTGGTGGGAACTAAATACTGCAGCATCTGCCTTCAATCCATTCTTAACTGATTATTATATGATTAACACATGCTGTAATAGCTGCTCAGTGTATTAATTTCAGGACAGATAAGCAAGCTACTATTAAGAAACCAAAAGAAATTATTTTTAAAATTACGTCAGAGACCCATAAACGAGTCTACCACAATCTACTGACAAAATAATATTTCAAATGCTCATCTTCAGAATAGGCAAGTTTATACAACATAATTGCTTCCTCTTAATTATAGACATTAAAAGTCTCAACAACCAATTTAAGAACCCAGTGTTTCACAGAATGCACATTTTGGTTCAATTTAATCAAGACTGAAGCCTGGTCCAAGATCTAAGTGAGTAGGAAATGAAGGGAGAAATAGTCATGTTGACATTTGTACATATTTGAACAAATCCAAATTTCTGCAGAATAATCAAAATGAACGAGATTTATTTCTCTGAACTTCTATATCCTGTTTCATCTGTAGAACATGTTAGAAGTTCATCTAATACCGTCTTAAGCAGTTACCTACTTGTTTCAGAAATGCAAGCCTTAATATTTTATCTTTTGCGGTAAAATATTAAGAACTGAGGGGTGGATCCAGGTCTTACGGATATGTAATTTGAAGCCACACGTAATCTGAGGGGTCCTCACAAAGAAAAATAATACAAAATTAAGAATATAAAATTATGTAGAGGGCATTCCAAGTGAGGGCTCCTGGAGGTTAAGTACCAGTGGCCTCATAGTAAAATCCACCTCTAAACTATCTCAAGGCATGAACCAAGTCTTGTATTTCTGAGTTCCATCCGCATGGTGTCTTGAAGAAGCTGGGTATTACGTACGCACAGAGTACTTGTCAATTCCATTCATTTCAGAAGCAAGCAAAAGATCTGAGTTTGAGATTCAAGACCAAGCCTTGGCCTGTCCAAATGGTACAAAATAAATCCTAACTCTCCAGTCAGTTACACCTTACATTACAGCTTGAATTAAATGCAGTTTGATTCACGTTCAATGTAGTTAGTCATCCAGTTAGTGTTTTAAAAATACAAAAATATCTATCCTTTATAATAGAACAAAGAAAAGATTTAGAAAAATATCAAAAGCTGGATGTACATGAGTCATAGACTAAACATTCTAGTTCCTGTGTGTATGTCCTCTATTTACGATGAACAGCTGGAATCGACGTGCACTCTTTTATTGACTGTGGACATCTGTGGGCTATTATCAATAGTCAGCCCATAAGTAGAAGAGTTTACCAATTCCAAAGTAAAGTTGTAGGAGTTTTTTAATGGTTTGAACTATCTATTCATACTGCCTGCCAGTAGCAACTGCATTTTTTAAATAAACATGAAATACCAAAAAGATAAAATTCATATAATTTTTCAGTTTCTACTTACAGGTATGATCTATCACATAAGCAAACAAACTATAAAAGAAATGCCTCACCAATCCAAGTTTATATTCCAGGCTTATTTTGTCAAGCACTGCTATGCAAAAAACTACAGAACTTCCTATCTGTGCTGTAGCTCAAGGTATCATAACCAGATCAATGAATGACAAAGAACAGACATTTTGTGAGTGTTCTCGAAGGTTAACATATGAATAACCACTGATCCAAATAATCTTAGTCCATATGCATCTACGAGAAAACTACTTTGAGGGAAAGCCCACTATAGTCAATAATCTTACTTATATTGGAATAGAACTTTATTATTAAAGGTATTTCGTAAGACTAAGGGATATGACTACACAAAAATGTTAATGTCTTCATGAAAAATATTAATAGGCTGGGCAAGGTGGCTCACACCCAGCACTTTAGGAGGCTGAGGCGAGCAGATCATGAGGTCAAGAGATCGAGATCATCCTGGCCAACATGGTGAAATCCCGTCTCTATTAAAAATACAAAAATTAGCTGGGTGTGGTGGTGCACTCCCGTAGTCCCAGCTATTCGGGAGATTGAGGCAGCAGAATAACCTGAACCCAGGAGGCAGAGGTTGCAGTGAGCCTATATCATGCCACTGCACTCCAGCCTGGTGATGAAGTGAGACTCCATCTCAGATAATAATAATAATAATAATAATAATAATAATAATAATAATAAATGACTTTTAAAACTAATGGACAATTAGAAAAAATATTTCTAACAAATGACAGGTAACAAACTAATTTCCTTAATGTGAAGAGTTATAATTAGAGGATCAATAATCAGATAAAAAGAGTCCAAAAGAAAAAACAGACAAAAGGATATGAAAAGACAGTTCACAGAAAAAAACCAAAAAAAAACAAAAAAAAAAACAAAACACAAACAGCCCATAAGAATTTTAAAAGATGCTAAACCTCACTCATAAATGTAAGAAACATAAATTCAAAGACAACAAGCTATCATTTGTCAGTGATCGGATCATGGCAAAGACAGTTTCAAAGGTAGAGAGAAAATATCCATGATTGGCAAGTGTGCGGGGAAAGCGAGAAAACAGGCACTCTCATTTTCTGTGGACAGGAATGTCATTAGTGCAATCTGGCAGTATCTTGCAAATCTAAACACTGATATACCTTGACCCACTGGTGACTCTTCTATGAAATCATCCTATAGAATTCTCAAACAATTATTCTGAAGATATGTATTCAAAAATGCTCCGTTTACAAAATTTAAAAACTGGAGAGAACTTAAAGGTCTATCCATATAATAACCCATTCAAGAAATATAAAGCTATTGAAAAGACTGTGGTAGATTCATTTATAGACGCTGATTATGAAACAATGAGAATTACATTTCTTGAGCTTTCAATATGTCAGCCACCGTTCTAAGCCTTTTATATATACTAATTAACTTAATGAGTAAAAAATCTCCAAGATACACAGAGAAGTAAAAATTGAAAATTGGCCAGGCGTGGTGGCCTGCACCTGTCATCCTAGCAACTCAGGAGGCTGAAGCTGATCTCTTGAGCCCCAGTTCAAGGATGCAGTGATTGTGCCATTGCACTCCAGCCTGGACAACAGAACAAGACCCTGTCTCTAAAAATGAAAATAAATTTTTAAATGGAAATTGCAGAACAGACTGTGTACTATACGATTCTGTCTGTATCATAGATAAGTATATATTTCTTATGATAAATATATAAACACATATATGACATATAGTATATAAATGTTCGTATGTATACATACATACTTTTCTATATACCCAAAAGTGTGGGGAAAATACAGAAGGAACGGTCTACAGTGATTTCCTGGGAGGAATGGGATTGGAGCTTGGGGAAAAATCTTTTACTTTTTATTTTTATAATTATCTGGACTGATGAAACTTTTCACCATATACATGGATTACCCTTATTTTTAAAATGTTAATATGTGTTTCTTGCCTAGTTTATGGTCTAGTTAATTTTGTTCTTATGATTAATATTTTTAAATCTAATGAATGTTATTCGGGGGAAAGTAGCAATATGAATAAACTTCAATATTTTGTATACTCTTCCATGGTGTAAGAATTTTTAGCATGAGCACAGATTACTTTTAAAATAAAAAAATTTAGTTAACTAACGTCAATACTCAACAAGCCCAACAAAAAGCTGTATCTCATTTCCTTCCTTATGCAGGAAACCTCAGAATATAAGGGTTTAGATGAGGATTCTCCTGATTCTAAAACAATCGTTTGGCTGGCAGTTTTCTTCCTCCCAATATCAAGTTGATTTAATGACATCTTCTAAAAGATGAAGTTTAATTCTTAATAAAACAGAAACAAGGCAGAAAATCTAAAGATTAACAGTGTGTAAATTTCAATGTATAATGCTCTGCTATATGTAATATGTAGCTCAACAATACAGATGAAGGATGATATTTACGTGCAGATCTGTAAAGCAGCCAACACATGGTGACTGTTCATAGTTATCATCATCTCCACCATCCATAAGCTACTTCCTGTGGGTCTAAGAATGAGCGCCACACTTGACACATATTAGCATATTTCCTCCCCACAAGATCCCAATAAAATTCTTGGTCAATTGATTATTTACTTAATAATATAAAATTATAAAAATATAGAGAAATTTAGGGTGGCAAACAGTAAATGAAATCTATAAAGCAACTGAATCTAGATTTATGGTATCTACTCTCAGCTCTTTTATAGATCTTTTAGGAGACCTTTTCCCCAGCAACAGACCATAAGTGGCTCCTGAATAATCTTCTTGCCAAGACCTTTGTGCCAAAGGTCATCCCTTCCCGTTAATCTTTCCTCACACATCTCTCCCCGCATACCAAGTGCAGGTGATTCAGAACCTCGTGCTCCGCTCCGTAAACAGCCTACATTTCTACCAACTCACAAAATCCTTTATGTTCTTACCTGTCCAGCAGCAGTTCCAGCACTTCTTTAGTGGAGGCAAAGCCTCTGTACGTTGACAGAAAGATGCTGATATAGGTAAAGTCATTGTCCCCAAAAGCTGTCAGCAGGTTCTCCACAAGCTTCTCCAAGGTACCAGCTTTTATGGTCCTGATCTTACAGGTCTCGTATTGACTGACTGTGTGTCCTGGAGGCAGCTGGTCCCCTTCAACCTGTGTAATAAATTAATGATTATCATAAGGAGAAACAGCTCCCTAAAATACAACTGGAAGCATTAAAATAGTTGAAGGCCAGCCACTTTTACACTGTTGGTGGGAGTGTAAATTAGTTCAACCATTGTGGAAGACAGTCTGGCGATTCCTCAAGGATTGAGAAATAGAAACACCATTTGACCCAGCAATCCCATTATGGGGTATATACCCAAAAGATTATAAATTGTGTTATTATAAAGACACATGCAAACGTATGTTCATTGCGGCACTGTTTACAATAGCAAAGATGTGGCACCAATCCAAATGCCCATCAATGATAGACTGGATAAAGAAAATGTGGCACATATACACCATGGAACACTATGCAGCCATAAAAAAGGATGAGGTCATGTCCTTTGCAGGGACATGGATGAATCTAGAAACCATAATTATCAGCAAATTGACACAAGAACAGAAAACCAAACACCGCATGTTCTCACTCATAAGTGAGTGTTAAGCAATGAGAACACATGGACACGGGGAGGAATATCACACACTGGGGTCTGCTGTGGGGTGGGGAACAAGGGGAGGGATGACAGGGTGTGGGGAGATTGGGGAGGGATAACATTAGGAGAAACACCTAATGTGGGTGATAGGGGGATGGAGGCAGCAAACCACCATGGCATGTGTATACCTATGTAACAGTACTGCAAGATCTGCACATGTACCCCAGAACTTAAAGTTAAAAAAAAAATGCCAATCTTAAAAAATATATATATATATTTGAAGGCCATAGCCTGTTAGGTTTCCCTTCATTCTTATTTATTTATCCCCTTTGTTACCCAGGCTGGAGAGCAGTGGTGTGAACACAGTTCACTGCAGCCTGAAACTCCTGGACTTAAGTAATCCCCCTGCCTCAGTATCCCTAGTAGCTGGGACTACAGGCTCGGGCAACCACGGTCTGCTAGTTTTCATATTTTTGGTTTTTGTAGAGATGGGGTCTCATTATGTTATCCAGACTGGTCTCAAACTCCTGGGTTCAAGCAACCCTCTCACCTTGGCCTCCCAAAGTGCTGGGATTACAGGTGTGAGCCACTGCATGCAGCCTACCCTCACTCTTATTTAATTTCTCTACACATCATACAAGGCAGTGCTCTCTCCTGTGAGTTTAGTGTGGTAGGACGGTGGTGGGGGAGGTATGCATGTTTCCTTCCTTTCTAGAAGTAGAGGTATTCCTTCATAATGGTTACATTTGCTTCTACTTACTCCCCTATCAAGAACTAGGTTGCTGGCATAATTTTGCCAAGGACGTTTTCAATGATCCCAGGAATCAGGTTTAGCAAGCAAGCATTCCCTTTGTTTTGTTCCATGGGAAGTTTTAAAACTCATCGCTTTTTTTTTTTTTTTTTTTTTTTTTTTGAGACAAAGTCTGGCTCTGTCGTCCAGACTGAAGTGCAATGGCGTGTCAGCTCACTGCAACCTCCACCTCCCAGGATCAAACAATTCTCCTGCCTCAGCCTCCTGAGTAGCTGAGATTAGAGACACCTGCTACTAAGCCAGACTAATTTTTGCATTTTTAGTACAGACAGGATTTCACCGTGTTGGCGAGGCTGGTCTCAAACACCTGACCTCAGATGATCCACCCGTGTTGGCCTCCCAAAGTGCTGGGATTACAGGCATGAGCCACCGTGCCCACCCAAACTCGTTCTTAAAGACGGCTCCAACGTAGTGTGCAATAGCTGATTCATGCTGGTTTTGGAGAGAAGAGTGTTAAATTTTGAGAATTTGTGTAAGCCAGTTGACATCATGTTCATAGCTTGAAAAACTGGCCATGGTTGAAGTATATTCTTGGTGGAAATTTAGGGAGATGAAACCATGATCTGACTTTCTTCAGTCCACAGAGGGCAATGTGCATTTTGATTCAATGTTATCAGCAATCAACAGAGCCAACTGAGAAAATGGCTGTACCAAGCAGTACTGGGTTAAGCTCTGGGGAGTGATGAAAAGGGCGAGTGGGTGTATGACCGACCCTGCCTTCCAGAAACTTGCAAAGTCTAGAAGAAGACATTTACTCATGAGAAGCAGCTAGCACATGAAAATGAAACTGTAAGTGAATACTGGTAGATACAATTGTACCTTGGTAGATATAAACCATAATACATAAAAATTCATTGGTAATAAAATCTTTACAGCTTAAAATCTGAGTATGAGGGAAGAGAACTAAAATAAAGAAAAATATTTGTGTGCCTTACATTCTGCAGTAAAGCTGTGCCTAACAAATCATACAGAAATGCCATTTTGAAAGTTTAACTCCTCCTTCAGAGGTACTAAGAAAACTGCTCTACTGAGAGGAGGTCTATTTCTCAAGCAAAAATTATCCTAAGTGATGCAAACAATCACCAGGTGGTTTATCTCAATCCTAACTTGAATTGTTTTATATCGGATTTTCCTAAATTTCAATAACCACATGTGAAAATTAAAGAAGAGCAGCAAATAAGACAGAACTGATCTCTAATGATGACATTGTGCTTACTAAGTAGCATTTTTGCTTTTCCTTCACCTGCCCTGTCAGAAATCAAACTACTGGAAGGAAATTAACAGATGGGATTGCTTTCAGAAAGACCGAAGTGGTGGCAACTGTTTTCAGAAGGGGGTTAGAAGAGCTTAATGTCATCATGTCAAACTGCTAACGGGAATTAAAATTAAGACCCCAGCTTATGTAGTAGATGGCTTTATCTCTTTATTTAATTTTTGAAAGTTTTCTAGGGAGAGGGATCTGGTTCAGGCAAAATATCAAACGTTTCTTTAGGCCTCTTAAGACTCTTGACTCAGATCAGGTTCTAATAACTGTTCTTTATCACTCTATACATAGTTTTGGAACAAACCTTGTAGTACCCATCTGTTCCCCAGAAGCTCCACCTTTACCAGAAACAATAAGTGAAAAAGATACATGGTGTTGAATTCCATATGTTATTAATTATTTGGTTCACTGTTGCTTTAAGTGTGTGCTGTAAAACACCAGTTCAAAAAAAGGTCCTGTGGTCAAGTTTGGGAACTACAGAGTTCAATAAAGTCAATGACATCTCTTTACTGCAGAATTTCTTACATTCTTTAATATGTTAACATGTGTTATCAAACTCCAGGAGAGGGATATGTTATAGACATTTCCAAATGGATTTCTCTTTAGTCTCAGGGCATCCTGCAGAACTTCAGAATGCACATACTTTGAAAAATTTTGGCTTATTAAATTACTGTAATGCATTTAAAAATTAACTCATTTACCACTTTTCATTTAAAAAAAGAAAAATCAAAACATTATAAAATGTAATATTAATTTCTATTTTCAAACATGCATTCTTTTGATCTCTTTCTTCATAAGAAAATGTAAGAATGTTTTGTGTTTTGTTCTTTGTCACTTTAAAATACTGGGCCAAAATAATTGTCAACCTGCATGACATTTAAAAGTAGCAGTAAGAGACCGGGTGCGGTGGCTCACGCCTGTAATCCCAGCACTTTGGGAGGCTGAGGTGGGCGGATCACGAGGTCAAGAGATGGAGACCATCCTGGCCAACACGGTGAAACTCCATCTCTTAATAAAAATGCAAAAATATTAGCCAGGCGTGGTGGCACGTGCCTGTGGTCCCAGCTACTTGGGAGGCTGAGGCAGAAGAATCGCTTGAACCCAGGAAGGCAGAAGATGCAGTGAGCTGAGATTGCGCCACTGCACTCCAGCCTGGCGACAGGGCAAGACTCCATCTCAAAAAAAAAAAAAGTAGCAGTTAGAAAATATACTTCAGGATGGGAGCAGTGGCTCACACCTGTAATCCCAGCACTTAGGGAGGCCACGGTGGGCGGATCACCTGAGGTCAGGAGTTTGAGACCAGTGGGGCCAACGTGGCGAAACCCCATCTCTACTAAAAAATACAAAATGAGTCAGGCATAGCGGTGTGCGCCTGTAGTCCCAGCTACTCAGGAGGCTGAGGCAGGAGAACACTTAAACCCAGGAGACGGACGCTGCAATAAGCTGAGATTGCACCACTGCACTCCAGCCTGGGCAACAGAGCAAAACTCTGTTTCAAAAACAAAATAGCAACAACAACAACAAAAAAACACAAACAAAGAAAAACAATAAAATATATTTCAATGTCAAATGCTAACAACAACAAAAGGAATGGCTTCTCAGTGGTTTCGGATAGTCAGACTCTGATTTAAATTAAGCTTCCTCACCTTGTGATACTATCAGTGTTCCCATACCAAACAATTTTGAAATTGGATGATTCTTATTTTATTGACAAAAGAAAGTCTACTTAATTATTAAATTTTTCTTAACAAAAGTCATGATTATTTAAAAGAACTAATTTTTCACTGGGTATTGATGTGTCCCAAAATTCAAACACAGAGAAAAATGCTTGTCAAAGAACCTGATGAAGTGGGTCCAATTTCCTGCCAGAAAGCAGATTTGGCAGAAAGCCAAGGTTCTCCCTTGGGAATGGCATTATGTTTCTTATTAACCCAGTCCCTTCCTTTCAGTGCTTTTTCACTCTGAACAAATTTTCAATACGCATACATGATTCCTGTAAGTCCCTTTAACAGTATTTGTTCCTCAGTGTTTGCATCTACGCATTAGGAAGAACCACATGTGGCCTAACAAAAGACTAATAAAATATTTTGAAAATTTAAATATAAAAAATAGTTTTCAAAGTGAACATCACTCTTGTGCCTATAATCATTCTTACAAAAAACAACAATGCATGTTAAGTTATCAGAGCATCTGCTTAATGTCATTTTCTGTAGATTTGCTAAATAACCTTCTATCTGCTTATGATGGCAGGGGAAAGACCTGATGACTTCTAATTTGCCAACATTTGATTAGAGTACATTTTTTATGAAACAAAAAGTTAAAGTTATCTGCTTACCACTGGAATTATTTTGAAATGAAACTCTACAGCAGGGAAACACAAAAAAATACGCTGCTGTATGGCCCAACTAGAGAAGCTAAAATGTTAAAAGTTTCATTTTTG